TTAACCACCAACTCATGACCCAAGCTAGGTTTTAAACATTTTACAAGGCTCTTTAATTCTGAAATGTTTTAAAATTCAGTGATTAGCGTGGAGTTTGCATGTATTATAAATGTTAACATAAATGTTTTTGGCAAAACCTACAAATTGATAGTCTATTTAATGTTAGATTTTGAAAAACAGTGAAGATATGACAGTTGCAATGTGTCTTCTCTAATTTACCAATTTGGGTTTTTCTCGTAATGTGATTTATGGATTCAAACTTTGTTATATTTTCAAACTCCTATTTAAAATGAAATTGATTAAATGTGGGGAATACAGTTTACATCTTAAATAAAACAAAAAATAATACAATTTACATCTACAGTTACTCTTCACTCTTGTAAGAGTAACAATTCTTACATAATGTTCAATGCGTGCATCACTTAATACACTGTGATTTGAATTTAAGTGTTAATGCTAAGATTTGTATTACCCAAAGTTTGGTGAGATACAATGCACCATTTCCACATTTTGCTTTGAGTTAAGTAAACACACTATATGACTAATCCGTGATCACCAGTCATCCTTGTGATGTTACTTACGACACTATGTACACATAATAGAAAAACATGCAGAATAAAATTAAAATTGGCAAATCCTCTTTAAAAAAATAAAACCATGAAACCCACGTGCTTTTGACAAGTGGACCTGCCATCTTCACGGTATTAAAAGAAAATAGATACACCTGTTTCAATTACTAGAGTTTAAGCAATTTTTAAATGTGATTTATTACACAATTAATGTCTATATCATTAAAAAACAATTTCTTCCCATTTTCTGCATATAGGTATAGACTTTTCCCACTTAAATTTGTCAATCAACTGATAATTTTACTTTCACAATCATTCCAACAAGCATAGAAAAAACATTATAAATACAAATACACTTGCTCTTTAGCTTACTAAATAACTCTTAATGAACATATTTGTCCAACTCTAGCACTTTTGCTTAAATGAACAACTGACTGAAAACTATATTTTATCTAATCACTTGTTCCCCTCGAAGGTTCTTTGGCAGTTTAAAAAAGTAAAAGAATCAGTCTTAACGTCTTCAACTGCTCACACCCTTCTCCGCCATTATTTTACCTTTGCCTTATGATGTATAAACTGTAGTACGTAGTAACAATACTAACTACCATTAAATGAAGATTAGGGAAAGATTAATAAAAATGTACAATCCCTTGGTGGGACAGCAGTAAGTCTGCAGACTTTCGGTGCTAAAATCCAGGGTCAATTACCTCAATACCTGTGACAGACACAGCAGATAGCCCATTGTGTCCTTGCTTTAAAAACATATAAAATAAACAATTATTTTACTTTTTTACAAGGAAATGAAGCATATATACATCATTGCATTAAATTTACAGAAATTTCGTTTAAGTAATCATATGCGATTTCATGGTTTTCAACTGCTCCATTACAAGTTGAGTTTCAAGGTTTAACTCCGAATAAGAATATCAGGTGCCGCAATTTTCAAGCTACTTCATTTGCAGATTATACACAAGCGTTATGTGTTTATATTTACACTATTATATTTATGCTAAATGGGGAAAAAATGAGTATCCTTACAAATGGATATGTAATAGCCAAAGCATACTGCAAATTTCTTAACTGGCATATACAGTATGTTTTTTTCACAAAGATAGGTTGACCACATTTCCAAAACCATAAGCCGCGACACTTCAACCTTTAAACTTCGTGAACAGACACGAGATGTTTGTAATTCAATTGTACTTTTAACTTTTATGTTTGTACTATTGTAGTCTGTAGAGGGTACTTTAACTTTTAAATCTAAGTCTTTATACTTATAAGTTATAGTGAAATCGAGACAAATTATATAAAAAATAACAATAACTTCACGAAAAAACAATTTATTATAAATATCTTAAATTTCTCTGAAAATTATATCAAAAACAAACACCAGATTGAAGGATTCCGATACTCACAAAAACCCCCAAAAACATCTTACTTTACCTACTACTGCATGTTGAACCAAGTCAAATATATGTGTTGACATATGCTGCGCCCTAGCATTATTTTTTTTAATCCATGATTATATTTAAAATTTTGAACTTGAAGGTTGAAAAATTAATGTTAAAATGATTATTTGCTGAGAAGACAGAGCAGCTGGAAAGTTAATAAAATGTGCAGTACTTTTAAAACTTATTTGTAAAATCGGAACAAATGCTTACACTAAGATCAGTTGTCGGGGAAACAGGGCAGTTTGATCTGTCTACATATGAACTACATATTGTTACGTCTCTGTTCGTTTGATTGCCTTTCCGTAACTTCGTCCCAACGAAACTTTAACGCCACAAGTCTTTACTTAATAAAACTGGTT